AAAAAACGCTCAACATCGCATCAAAGCCATAAGAAGCCATACATATTCTAAGTTCATAATGTGAAAGCTTTTCTTCGCCAACACAAAAGATGTTCATATTATTGTATTCGGAATAAACCACGAAAGTAACAGAAATAGAAATGTGTTATTTTGTTTAAAAGAAAACATCTGAATATAAACATATATATTAGTCAATAACCATTTGTATAAAGAAGTACCAATAATCATATAAAGAAGTAACACATAAGCACTAAGCTGATAACAAACCGAAGAAGCAAAACGAAACACAAAACAACAAAGACACTAATAAACGTTAGAATAAAAGATGAGTACAGAAACCAGATTTTCGGGGCTCATCATGCATTGCGAGAGTATGAATTAGGTTCGCCTACAAGTGTGACGTTAAAAAGCACCAGAAATAAATCTCCCAGAAAACACAACACGAAATTAAAATGATAGATCCCTTCGCCTCCGTGAATACATCATGAAAAGTTTACGTCAGAATAATTCTGTGTGAAACGACTCAGAGCGATACACATTTTCATCTACCAATTATCTTGTTCTGTCAATAAAACCATTCCTGATTATGCATTTTGAACTGTCAATGAGAGAACAGATGATCAAAAACGCTAAAACGATCTCATTCTCAATGACCATATAATTTCCCTCTGGAACAGTCTCATAGAACATAAATGTGTAATGTTTATGGGGTAATTATTGGCTATCAGAAATTTTCCTTCGACTTTAGTAAATACTTCCAACTCATCCAAATTTTGAACAGAAAGAAACATTTTTGCGTTGAATTAAGCCGGGAAAAGCATTCTCATTCCAAATGAAGCACAGAATAGCCATGAAACTCAGGAATAGCCATTAACAGTGAGCACAATCTCCCATACAATATAATAAGCTAAGTAACAGAAAGCACAGGGCAATAGAATAGATTGGTAATGGAGCACCACACCACACTGCTTGGAAAAAAGGAAAGAAGAAATGTGGAACAAGCAGAAAGGAAAATCAAAAAGCAAACAAAACACTGAAATTACTGTCAGCGAACAAATCAAAAACGATAGAATATGAGCAAAACCGAACAAAATGAGGCAATCGAATAAACTTTTCATAAATTAACTACCAAATAAATGAATTCATTCATAAAATCTATCCAACAATTCATCATATAATCTGAAATTATCATCGCAAAGCATTACAACAACAATGGCAATGTTCTTCACAGAAGCTTCAGTGATCAAAGAAACGACAGAATCATTTCGCATCAAACAAACACAACGAGCAAACAACAACTACAACAATAAATTTTACGTAACCGCGCAAAACAAAAAGGGAAGATAGAATCTAATCGAGCATGAGCTGAAAGCGATAGAATTTCGACAGAAAAGCGATAGATCAGAGAAGTGAAATGGTGACAGCTGGAAATGAAGAGTCCCGCATTAGTTCAAGGAAGACGCATATTCTATGTCAAACCCACTGAAGTATTCCTACTGCATTACCAAACGGGCGTAATTTAAGCATCTCACTCAATTCCACAACTTCAAAATATGTTCGTCATCATCATTATACGCAAAATATCGTCGCAATTTTTTCTAAATCCTTTTTTGTTCTTTCAGAACGTTGCTATCCGACGCCGCTTAAAGTTTTGTGAACCCGATCAAGCCCCATTTCTTCAAAATCTCACTTCTAATAACCACTTCAAACTTGTTAAATTAGTCTCGTAATAACTCCCCCCCCCCGTTTTCCCTCCTTCCTTGGTCATCCGCTAGCGATGCTGCTCAATCAACCACCTCCCACTCATCCTCTAAACTCCGTCTGCCTGAAGATGACTCACGCTCGTTGTCGTTTCCTGATGCAGCTGTAGTAGTCATTCCGAACGTGACATGAGTCGCTGCCGACTCAGAAAGGCACTTCTTGCGACGTCTTCGATTCTGCTCAGCGGTCGATCTCTTCGATCCATTCAAGAAGTTAGTCGGGTCATTCTCCTGACCCCCGGGATTATTTGTCCAATATCGTCGTCCAGAGCGAGTGCGTCTGCGATGATGCTGATACTTGCCGCCATCTGCAGTCTGAACTGTGCCCAACGATCCTCCTCCAACAGGATGTTGCAATTGCGAATGCACAGTACCGTCATCAACACTTCTCTCAAACTCATTACCATTAGCATCATGATTTCCTCTCAAAATGCCACGTAGCACACTGGCTTGAGCATTCAATCGTGTACCATAGCTACGTTCATATTTCAGCAGATTCGAAACTTGCGCAACTTGCTGCAATTTTGATTTTGCTTTATTGCTTATGAATCAATCAATCCAGCTTTTCGAAACAGAACAACAACGAAAGCAAACTCCATCGAAACTGAACGGCCAATCCACAAAAATAATGCACTTATCAGTGGTGCTTATAGTAATTGAAACATATACGAATAAAATGAAAATTTTAAAAGAATACAGACATATACTAAAAACTCTCCACTAGACAAAAAACGTGCTGCGATTCTTGCGAGAATGCATTCAACCATGCAATATTCTTTGCACACTAACGATAAGCTGTTCAGTAGCGAAATTCCAGAAAACAAATTTGAAATAACAGAACCAAACTCAAAACGATAAGTAAAACGAAACGGAACAGAGAAATTCGCTGCATAACAACACTCATCTTCTACCGAATGCGAATGCGCCTACAGCATTCCATTACTATTTGAAAAGCGATAAAGTTCGCTAAAGTTCCAACGGCCTATACACATTCCAAAGAATAACATTTTCAGAATTTTCTCAAAAAAAAACTCAATTTTTTTGACGAAGAACAAAACGTCTGAAGTTGCACATCACAAAGCAAAAGCAAAAGTTAATAGGATCTAACAAAGGAAAAAGGTAAAAAAAAAAAACTGGGATCGTACTAACTGCTCAGCAGGAACAAAACAAACGTGCGAACAAACAAAGGCAAAAATGAACAGACACAAAAATGGATTAAAAAACAGAAAGGAAAGAACATTAACAAGAAGAACATTAATAACAATAATAACAGTAACTATACCTTATCTAACGAATTATTTTTGAGTCTTATACGATCGGCTTTTTCGCCTAGTGAACGACCCTAAAAGTTTGCTGAATGCAACCAACTCGTATGAGATTCTTCTTCATCTTTTCAATGACAAATTCAGTGTGGTTAATAATGAATCTAACTGATCAAAAGTCATAAATTAAGCACACAACTGCACACTTGAAATACATGTTAGATGCGTTTCTGCACTAAACACAGGACTGCCAATGAAAGGACAAAAAGCAAACAAAATGATGGGTGAAATCTTACTGACGTATTCTCCAAACAAAATTAATTAATGATTAGAATTACGTTGATTTATAAATAAGCGTTCGTTGATTGGTTAAGCAGTGAGAAATAAAAAAGAAACTGTGTTGCTTTGTAGACGAAGAAGAAATTTTTCGTGAAGTGATTGGTAATTTCGAGATCGTAACGCTGAACGAACACCTAGAAACATCGTTGCTGCGACATCAAAACTTGTGTTTATTAACTCACCCGATTGAGCTCCTTTTTGAGCAGCGCAATTTCCCGTTCGTAGTGCTTCTCCTTTTGTGCTGCTTCGTGTTCAATTGCGTCGATTGTTGAAGACTGAAAAGGAATGTTCAAATAATGAAAGAGTTTACTGATTTCACCCGTACACGAACGAAGTTATCATTCAGTACAATAAGTTACACGAAAATTTATTGACTGTCAGTACACCAATCACTAGAGTTAACGAATTCTGTGACCACTAAACTTCTTCGATTAACGCTGAAAACAAGACCATATGTCTCACTCGTTTCAAAATATTGCACTGAATAACTTTGTTTGAGCAATTTTTGTGAGCAACCCTGCAAAAGACTGACAATGAGATGCAGAAACTAGCAAATTAACGCACCACAGTGGCCAGAGCGACTCGATACCTTTCCACTTTGCTCTCCAATTCTTCAATCTGAACGTCCGATTTTTGTGTTGACGCAACCTTCGACATGCTCAGTGGTCTTTCGTTAGCAGATGGCTGCAAAAAAACGAAACTGATATCCAATACACGATGAAATTTTCCGAGGATTCCGTCACACCTTCCAGTGAACTGATTCTAAATCGTTCCCATTTTCACACGGATAAACTTTGCAATCGAAATGGAACAATTCCATTCAGAATGAGCATTACCGTTCGATAATTTCGAAATCAGCTTCTATCAACAGTCATACTCTCACCCTCCTCGGCAATATCTTTTTCAGACTGATCCTCTCAAAAGTTTTCTATCGATCTAATCTGATCAACAAGGGCTGAACTGCTAGCGAAAAAAAAGTTTTTAAAAAACGCCGAAACATAGTTTATACCTCATGATCTTCGTCATGAGTGGAGTCCGAATTTGGGATCGATTCAATTTTCGGGGTTTGAGGAGCAGAGACTTTGGCTGCTGCACTCGAACGCTTCTTGAGGGCTTCAGTAGCATCACAAATCCACTGTTTGTATTGTTCTTGGGTACACTGTTGAGGCGGTGACTTCAATTTCATATCAGCTGGCAGTATCTTTTGAAGCTGATCCACTATGGCGCTACGCTCTTCTTTTAAACTCTTTTCGAATTTCTTCTAAAAGACACAAATGTGCGCTCAAAAAATGATGTAATCGAACTAGGTGACATTTTGATAAATGAATAATAAATGATAAATGAATAAATGTCATTTTCAAATTGCTGCAGATAAATTTCAAATTCAAAGTACGAAGATATTCTCACAGATTTCGAGACAACATAATCTTTATTCTGCAGTTATCCTATTCCAGAGTTTAGTTTGAACATAATTTCGACTTGTGGGAAATCACATAAGGATGAGTATGAGTAAATTGAACGTTTTCAAAAATTCCGAAGAATTTCTTCAAAAATGTCAGAGGCACCACAATTTTTGGGAGCAAAATTATGTTGGCCTTTCGAATACAGGACTTACTTCCATCTCCGCGATGCGCTTTCCGTACATTTGATCCTGTTTTTGTGACATCTCAACAACTTTATAATTGGCTTCACGTAATTCCTAGAATAGTGATTACATACTGATCATGCAATAATTTTATGAATAGTGACAATACACCGTCGTCACCTTCTTGCTGATGAGAGAAACAAAAATATTGACGGATTTACGAGGACTAAGTGGATGGTTCTGCTGAACTGACGATGATCTGATGAAGTTAATAGTCGCGTTAACGAACACGACAAACGATGTGATAAGATAAGTGTATTAGGCAAAACAAATCGAATGCAACATCAAGAGCGATTCCGATAACGACAACTACATCAATAGCATTTTCAGCTGTTCTTTAATCTTAGAAAACGACGACTCCATTCCAAGACAAGTATTACTTGTGTGAATAAAATATTGCCAATTTAAAATTCCTATTGACATCTTCAAGTAATGTGAATTGACTGTTGTGTGATGCATGCATAACCTCGCAAAATGCTCCCAAAACTTAAATTTCAAATCATTCAAGCAGAAAAAAAGCAACGGCTCCTTCCTCTTACATTGTTTCGCTTTTGCTGTTCGGCCAACTCCTGCTCCAATTCGCCGAGCTTGCTTTGATCTAGTGGAATCACACCATTTGAGAGCGGAACCGACTGTGGCGCTGCGCCGAGTCCACGCACCTTGCTCAACTCCACCACCTGCGATTGTTAGTAGTAAGAAGTCAAAAGAGTAGCAATATATGAAAATTAGATGGAAAAGGAACGAAGACCACTGTAATACATTCCAACGAAATCCGTAAAGCATCCCTCGAAGCAATCAAACAATACAGTGGAGAGCCATACTATACCTACTAAACGAACTGACGTCGATTTAGTTTCCTGATGCAAGAAATATGTGCAATTTTTTCACATCT